TATATATACTACTATCTACTATTTTATTCTAATATATATATATATATATATATATATATATCCTGAGTATCATTACTCATGGACCTCCTGAGTAAAGCTGATAGGGTTTTTGCCCATCCCTACTGACCCATGATTCTTACAATCTGCTTTTCAAAATAGGGAAATGCAGACACTCATTGCACTGTCTCCAGTTGGTCGTTTCTCCAGACTTCCCAACTCATCTTCCTGCCCTTTCTTTATTCTAATGGAGCATGGGAGGTCCTTGCCACTTCCAATTCCCAATCGCTGGATAGAGTCGCTCATGATAGAGTTTTGTACAATAACACAATCTGATAGCCTTATGTACTCCCTCAATGAGAAGAGGGCTATCATCATTATGCTGCACATTATACACACAATATGGCATGAAATATATTATGCAAGGTGCTTCCACTGGATGTTTCCTGCCCAGATGGACTGCATTTGACATAATCCATTGTATACTAAGGGGCTTCTTCCAGATGTTTTTATCTGGGTGGACCTCACTTGGCTATCTTGATATCAATCCAAGGTGCTTCCCTTGTTGTTTTCTGCCCAGGCAGACCACACTTGGCCTATTCACATATGGTTCTGTAGATCAAGCCACATATTCTAATCGTTTCCACCCTACGTGTCTTATCTTATTTACTGGGTATAGCACATACCTGTTCCAGAAGTAGTGCTATACCCCACAGATGTGCTTTGTATTTTAATAATGACACACCTGCTTGTTTTTTACAGCGATTGCTCTACCCTTGATTATTTGTCTTTGTGCCTCCACCTTTACAATGTGGAATTCTAGCTATGGGGGAGTGGAGGTAGCATCATTTTGGAAGTTAACATTTTCTAACACTGAAAATGTATTTCTGATAGGTACTTACCTCCTCTCACCCATTTCCCATCCTTCCTTCCCACCAATTTGTCAGCATTTTTGGGTTTGTATATGCCAATTCTCGAAAGTAAGGATTGCTCCACAAGTGTAAAAGGAGCTAAATGCACTAGTATAGAGGGTGCAATGGGATTGGTTGAGGGTGGTCACATGATCAGCATATGTTGCTGCAATGATGCAAAAAATATAAGGGTATAAAAGACTAGTACACTTTTAAAAAGTTTACCAATGCCTAGAGGGCAAATGAAGGTCGAGACAGCTATGGATGATAAAAGGTAAGTATCTATAGGAAATACATTTTCAGTGTTAGAAAATGTTAACTTCTTGAATGGTCAAGCTACAAAAAGTAGCACCTCATGTTGATTTAAACAAATAATTTGGACTTGATTTAGGATGTTTCAATCAGAATCTAGAAAACTTATAAAAGAATAAGGAAGGTATTATTTGCATACTACAAAGTCAGAAACATTTGTACTTCACTTGTCTAAATTAAAAATTCCTGGGTCCAAAGCACTGAAAGTTTTATTCACAGCTCAGAAGCCCTAAGAAATTTTTGAAACTGTTGAAATATTGATCAAGTTTAGATTTCAAAACCCTCTTTAAATATATCAAAAACAACTCTTAGCAGTCAATATTGTAGAATATAAAACATTACTCAGTAACTTGGCTACAACACAGTTAGATATAATAAAGTTTAATATAGTGATATAAATAATAAACATCAAAAACTTATAGAAGTATTTGTCTTAATTTGAGGAGTTGCCATCAGGATTCTTTAAGTTCCTAAACAATTAATAACTAAGGGTGTCAAAATATATTTTGATAGTAACAAGAGAAAATGTCGATATTTTTAATACAGATTTGTAATTGTATTCCAAAAGTACTTTTTAGTCTTTATCAACCATTTAAATTGCCATTTTTACTTACTTAGCTCAAGTGGAATGCCGAAATAATAGTGAATGTCAGCTTGGCGAGATATGTCTACAGAACAAGTGCTTTGGTGAGTTTTTATTATATTTCACTTTTATAATTGCCTTTACAAGTATTGACCTAAATGTCATGAAAAAGTTTAAAATAAGCTGTCTTCAAAAGTCAGTAAACCAAATTATACCTAGATTTAACTTACCTTGGTTTCTTAGATTAATCATGAATTCCTAGAAAATTGTACATATAACTTCAGTTACTTTCATGCGTAATAAAAGTAATACTGAGTTATTGGCATCTAACCTGCAATTAAGTTAAGTAATAAATGTATTTATATCAAACTATCTGATTATTAAAAAGTAATATTAATTTCATCCTTCAAATTAAATATTTAACTTTTCTTCAGATATTTTTTTAAAATTGAATATCATACACCATCATACCCTTTTTCAAAAATTATCAGTAAGACCTTTCCTGGAAACCATGCTGAAAATATTTAATCCATAGTCTCCTATACTTTATCTTTCACATCAATACTTTACTTCTTTTGAATTAAACAAGTCTGGCACAGATAAATTCTCCCTAGAATTTTTCTTGTCAATAAAAACTTTAAATCTGAGGGTTGCGGCTTCGAATCCTCATCCCACCAAACATGCTTGCTCTTTCAGCTGTGGGGGCATTATAATGTGATGATCAATCCCACTATTCGTTGTTAAAAGAGTAGCCCAAGAGTTGGCAGTGGATGGTTATGACTAGCTGCCTTCCCTCTAGTCTTACACTGCTAAATTAGGGATGGTTAGTGCAGATAGCCTTCGTGTAGCTTTGCATGAAATCAAAAAACAAACAAAAACTTTATTATTTTTTTTATTATTTACATTTCACAGAGGGATGTCATACTGATGACAACTGCCCCTTTGACCAGAGTTGCATCTCAGGTCAGTGCCAAAATCCATGTTTAGTTAGAGGGGCCTGTGGATTGAAGGCTGTTTGTTCTACTGTACAACATGAGAGAAGCTGTACATGTCCACCAGGATTCACTGGTAACCCTAAGACTCAGTGTCAAGAATGTAAGTTAGCAGCCAAATATTTAGATTTAGTATATAGGTAATTTAGACAATAATCAAATACAAAAAATACAGATTGAATAACTATAATATTTCTATATTATTTATCAACTACTTGAGTGTTATAAGGTAGATTTTTATATTCAGCTCTTGTCCTTGTATTGTAAAGATTTATTTTTTCCATCAAAATTATTTTACAACTGAATATTATGTAACCTTTCACAAAATCTAAGAGTTCAAATCCCAATGTTATAATCATTATCATTTTCTGGAATTGCTCTAAAGTTTTAATAATCATAATAGAACATCATAATTTTTTGTAGACTATATTTATATTCACAAAGGTTTACACAGCTCAGAACATTTCTTTATAGCTATTTACACCTTGCAAAATTTCTTAGATCAACCCTGGATTTCAGATAGAGAAACAAAAATAAACCACCTATACAGAAACTTTGATTGTTTATGTAACTGTAAATGACTAACCACACCTGATGTATGAAATTGTTACTTATTTAAAATTGTGATGCCTGTCTTGTTTATTTCATTAAACAGTGATGTAGTTTGAAGTAATAGGTACTCTTTTATATCAAGTGAGCTGTATTTACTTTAATTGGTTTTATGTCACTTTCAATATTTTTTTGCTTATATTTTTTATCCAACAGTCATAGGAACCTGCAATTCAGAGGATGATTGTTTAGCAGGAACTATCTGTCAGAATGGGCAATGTGTTGGTATGTTTCAATCTGCCTGTTTATTTGAACTATTATACTTCAAAGGATTATGTTATATTCTTATGTGCTTTACATTCTTTTAACTTTCTTACCATAATTAAGTGACACAGTGATAGAACAATTATAGTTTTCAAGGCATTTTAACACATTCATTTTTCATTGTAGTCAATAAAAGTATTTATTATGTATACAAATATCAGTATAATTAACAGAATATTACACTGTAAACTGTCTATGTAATACATTACTAATAATTTATGTATTTTATGTGTTTCATTAAATGGAAACCTTTGAAAAATCAAATTTCTTTTACAGTATCAAAAGGATGTTCTTCAGACAATGACTGTGCTCGAGGTCAGATATGTGATAATACTACGTGTGTCTGTAAGTATTTTACAGTTGCATATTGATATGATAGAATTGTTAAATTATGAAGTTTTCATTGAAGATTATATATTAATGTACAAACTAAGATATAGTCATTAATAATTTATTTTTCTTCTTGCAAGTACGTTACTATTGTAATATTTAATCTACTTTTAATGCAAACTTTTAACTGATGTTGATTACTTTTAAGAAAGAACAATACAACATATCTCGAAGTTGTAATATATAGCTGTTTCTACAAAATTGTAATATTTTAAACAAACTAAAAAGTGTCAGTTATGATAGTACAGTTGAAAAAGACACTGTGACCTGAGTATTTTAAATAAATAAATAAATACATGAACTAAAAATTGAATACAAATCATGTGAGCTCTAGTGTAATCATAGAGAGTATATATATATATTGAGTTAGGAATTGGCTGACTTCTAGGTAAGTGTATAGCACTAGTTTTTATTTCCCAGTTCATCCTTGATAGAGCAAATTTTATACTCCAAAAATACTCAGGTTATCATGTCTTTAATTTATCTATATTGTAATATGACATGCTTTTCTTATATTGTGGATTAATTCTTTTTTTTTAAATTAACATAGGCCTAAAGTATTTCAAAGATGCCCATATTATTTCTTGCTCAGAAACTGTGTTATCAGTTTGAAAAAAATCATCCATTTAACATTTATTTTTACGGTTGGATTACAGATGGATGTAGAAGCCATAGTGACTGTGAGTTTGACATGGCTTGTGTGGGTCGTCAATGTCAAAATCCTTGTAGTGAGGATGCCTGTGGCACGGATGCTAAATGTCTTGCAATAAACCATCAGGCAAATTGCCGATGCCCTGAAGGTTATACCGGAAGTGCTAAAACTCACTGCTACCCATGTAATGTTGTTTTCCTTTTTCAACATTTATTTGCATAAGTTATGTAATGCATCTGTTAAAAATTGTTTTTCAGTATTAGTATTTATTGACACTAAAAATCAGTAGTATAAAGTGTATGTAAGAAAAGTCATACATAGTTTTAATGAACACATCTCAAAACTAAATTTATATTATTTTTTGTGCATTTAAATGAATTTTATACATTTTAAAAGTACTGTGCCTAGATTTTAAATGAACATTAACAGAGGCAATTGTTGATAATTGCAATGAATAACATGTAGTTTTTTCAACATTCAAAATTGTTATATCTGTGATGTAAGTAACTTTTTCAATATTGCTATTCATTTTGCTATTAGTGGTGGAAGACTGCTATGCTGACAATGATTGTGAACTAGGAAAACTTTGTATCAGCAATAAGTGTATTGGTATGTAAAAAGAACTTTGATCAGTTGTTGAACTATTGTTTTAAACATTTGATAGCCAGTAAAAGCCAAGCAGAGTATTTTTTATTGTAAACATGTTCTTGTTATATTCTGTATACAAACTGCTTAGATTAGATTTTACAATTAAGTTTTGAATAATAGTTTGCATCTTGATTACAATTAATTGGATAACACTATCACAACTATTGTATATTAAAATCTAAAAAATTTTAGCAGATATATATCTGTGTGTGTAAGTATCAGTTTTAAAACAGAACCACAGACATTTGTGTTACTTTTACTTAAAACATCTGTTAATATACTGAAGTTGTTATTTCTGTTATGAAGACATTTTTATTTCTGAACTTGTGGAAAACATACATGTGGTGCCCCCCAGTAGCACAGCAGTATGTCTGCGGACTTACAACGCTAGAAACCGGGTTTCGATACCCGTGGTGGGCAGAGCACAGATAGCCCATTGTGTAGCTTTGTGCATAAATTCAAACAAACATACATGTGATTCATTGTGCTTTAATGATAACATCAATAGTTTAAATGAAGGTAAACTTGTATTCATTTGCATATATATATATATATATATATATATATATATATATATATATCAACATCTATAGCAACACTGTGTCTTAAAATTTAGAAACATTTACCTGAATTTAATTAGACCTAATTTTACTGTTTACACACTTTTGCAATGTCAAAACATTTAGAGTTTAGAGTATATGAATAAAATTTTATACTTGAAGTTTTATAACTCATATATATTGTATCCACAGTTGGTTGTCATGCAAATTCTCATTGTCCATATGATAAGGCCTGCATAGAGGGACGATGTCAAAACCCTTGCCAAGGTAGAACAGCCTGTGGTATTGGTGCTGCCTGTCGTGCTATCAACCATAAGACAGAATGTACTTGTCCATCAAACCACACAGGAGATCCTAAAGTTCGTTGTACTCCATTTAGACCATATCAGTGTGAGAAGGAGAGTGACTGTAACTCTGGTTTTGTCTGTGAAAATAATTTGTGCATCAGTATGTATCATGACTCTTGTATTGCCTGTTTTACGTTTTTAACAAATTCTTTAAAAGCTAAACCCAATTAAGCATTTTGTAAATAACATATTTCACTACTGTTTAGTATTTTTCACATTTCTTAGTTGACAATGAAAAAAATGAATGAAGTAACTGGTTTTTTGATAAAATAAATTTTGATTTTAGCTTTCAGTGTATTTGAAAATAAATAAGTACTATGTCATGATGTGAAAACTAAACAGAACCATACAGTGCAGTAAGAGTACACACAAATGTTTTATTAGTATGGATTATTAAAGTCAAAATTTCCAATCTTTACCTTTTCTATGTAAAGTAATTGCCTTTGTATGTAAAGTACGTGCTTTGCTTTTGTTAATAATTATGTGCATAACAGAGGTTTCTCAGTCAGAATGGTAAATGCACAAATAACTGTTTCACATCTTTTTCTTGCATTATCTGATTTCATGTAGTTAAATGTAGTTAAATATATACAGGAACACATTACTAAAAGGTAACCGTCCCATTACTTTTAATGTTAGCTACAATACAAGTTATATTCTAGGTGTGGTTCAAGAATGTAGTTTAGACACAGCCTGTGCCCCTGGTAAAATATGTGAAGATAACAAATGTGTTGGTATGTACTGACTTTATGGATACCATTATTTTAATTTAATTATAATATCTTGAAATTAACAGTTAGTAGACGTTTTTTTTCATTTTGTGTAAAATCAATGCTTGAGGTTAATTAAAATTTCAGTGTGCCATTATTTTAATAGATAAATAAAAAACTTCAGGAAGTTGTGTTTACACTTATATGATGTTAGCTAATTCAAAAAAAAAAGGTTGAAAGGTTATTTATTATTTAATATTCAGGCAAAACTTTACCTCATTATTATCATTTAGTATAATTTTTTTATGAATTCTGAAGACTAGGTGAAAATATATTTAAGATATTTCACAATTAAATCATACATAACAAAATAAGTAATGTATTGTAAGTTTAAAGTCATTAAGTAACCATTATACAAAGAAGTGAATCAAATTTTGTGCTATGAAAACTTGTATGCTTCTCACTATACTGTAAACTTGCATATGTATTTTTCATGAAATATTTTTACCTTTTCCATACAGTTGGATGTCGTAGAGACTCTGACTGTACCTTTGACAAAGCATGCATCAACAGCCAGTGTCTCGATCCATGCAGTGTACCAAATGTGTGCAGCAGAAATACAAACTGTCGTCCTGTTGTACACCGTCCTTTGTGTACATGTAAACCAGGTTTCACTGGACAACCTTATGTCTCTTGTCAACAAGGTAATCTTGTGATTTTCTTTTTCAACTAATTTGAGTCATCATTATATGGTTTAGAAGAAATCTTCATGGCTAAATTTGTAAAATTAAATTAAATAGCCATATTCATAAAAAAAATAAGAATTCTAGGTTATAGAGAAAGATTTTAGAAGTTATGATTTATCTTGAAATTTGCTCAGAATTTAGAAAAACACATTAACTAAAACTTAGCCTTAGATTGAAAAAAGAGATATAATGTTTTGTAAAAGAGGTATAGCAGCTATTATTAAATTCTTAGACTTTTATATTTTGTTTTTATAGTTCCAGTGAGCCGTGTTCAGTGTGATATAGACAAAGACTGTGACAGTGGCAAGATATGTGAAGATCATCAGTGTATTGGTGACTAGCTTTTGTATTTTTATAATATACACAGCTTTCTTTTCATTCTTTTCTTTAGCACTGTTGAAAAATTTATCTGAAAGTATTGTAAAGCTTAACAGTATTTTAATAGTTTGTTTTCCAGAGTATTTAATAAAATGCTTATTATAGTTTAATTAACAGTGAGCTTTCATTGTACATTAATAGTAAATCTTCAAGGCAGATAACAGCAAGTAAAGTTAAGTTAGATTACTGAAAATAACTCATTCTTAAATGAGACTAAATCATAAAAGATAGCAAGTATAAAAGACACGACAATTTGTTTAGCCAATTTACATTGAAATAAATGGGTTTTCTACATATTATAAGGTAAAATCCTTCAATAAACAAATGAGAGATATATTTATTGAGAAACTGATGGGAAAAGAATTATTTGCCATGAATTTAACTAAGTAATTGTTTTTCACTTCACTTATGTACATTTTTACAAAAGTTACATCATTATTTTGAATATTTAAGAAAAAATGGGAATAATCTAGCATAATTTGTTAAAAACATATGGTAATATGCAATAAGAGAACTTTTTTCACACATACCAGGGTTATCCTATAGCCTTATCCACTGTATTTTTTCTGTTATTAAAGTTTTTTTTTTTGTTCTTCATTGTTATAGTGGGTTGTCGTAAAGATAGTAATTGTCCTACAAACAAAGCTTGTATCAACACAAAGTGTGAAAACCCTTGTGATTTCCCTGATGCATGTGGTCTACATGCCACCTGTGTTCCCAGTAGTCACAAACCAGTTTGTACATGTCAAGTTGGCTACACTGGAGATGCTAATGTGATTTGTCATCTAGGTAAGCTTCTTCTGGATAAATGCATATCACAAACCTGTTTGTGTTTGAATTACATATTAGTTAAATGTTACTTGCTGGTATGGTTAAACAAATGATGTGATTTCAGGGTTTCAATTCAGTTTTGTATTTGTTTTACAAAATTCAAGACTTGAAAACCACATCTTGGATTCTAGCCAAGTCTAGATTATTAACAGTTGTTGATTAATGTTACAACTGAGAGTCAAGAAATATCATCCTACTGTATATTCTATCATTAAAATTTTTCAACAGTATTTACTTTTATTATCAGAATGTTTCAGTATGCTAACCAAAATTCTAAAATTAAATATGATTGTTTTCATTACAACAGTGCAATACTATTTAGTAAATGCTCACTAGATCAACACTTAAGTTTATGACAAAGTATAATATTAGGTGTTGTAATAGCTTAGCAGCTACATTATGCTAGATATCAAGACCATACTTCAGGTGCAAAAGTGTAATGAAGTAATATATGTTATAATATTTGTTTTTTGTTTTCTTAGCTCCCATTGACCTATGTGCAAGTGATAGAGAGTGCTCTGTTGGGAATATTTGTGAGGAAGGAAACTGCATTGATGCTTGCCGCACTGATGGCTCATGTCCTTATGATAAGTCATGCATTAAAAATAGGTGTCAGGATCCCTGTAGTTTCTATAGTGCTTGTGGCACTCAGGCTTTCTGCCATGCTGCCAATCACAAAGCAGTTTGTTCATGTCTACCATCCTTTATTGGAGATCCAAAAGTTTCATGTACTAAAGGTCAGAATTCATCCTGTTGCCTTTATTTAGATGGTTTTATTAATATATGGAATTATAAGAAAAATCTGTTTAATATTTGTCTTTGTTATCATCCATATTTTTGAATAATTGATTGCCTAGTGATAGAACTAGCTTGCTTCTTTATGGAGTTTTTACAGGAATATGAAATTTTCTTAGAGACTGTTTTGCTGGTTTTAGTGTTAATCTTGTTGAAAATAGCCTTACCCGTATCTTGACCAAGCAATTATACTTGAATAAAATCTGTTCCCATACACAATAATAAGATGTTAATTTATTCAATTAAGATTTAAACCTATTTCAGAGTTCCAAATAATTTTAATTTACAGTTTTTATGAAATTAGCAGTCACAATTATATTTAAATAGCAGCAAAATAGCCTTACTTATTATTACAACTACTATAAATGTTACAGCTATCAAAAAAGTAGTTCTTCACTCATGTATTTCACATCCTAGGGTATACTTTGATATATTACAGACTATGTTATATTAAACATCATATTTTTTTTTAGTAGTGATAAATTGTAAAAGATGTACATCAAATGACTATAACTACTCACATTACCATTTATGTGAGCTAGGATGACATATCTTATAAAACAAGTTTCCAGTCATTTTTACTTAAAATTTGATATCTATTATGATTACATTAGAAAATGTTATGATCTAGGTTTATAAAAACATAAATTTCTCACTGAATAAGATGTCTAAAATCAGATTATGCAACTGTATCAAATTATCTTTGACAGTTATGAAGAACTTTCACAGTACTATGTGCCTTATTTCTAATCATTCATTAACTTATCTAAAAGTTTGATGGAGACAAGAAAATTCTATAAATATGAAAACTTGCAACTAGTACAGAAAAGGTCCTTTATATCATCATTGTCATGTCTAAACCTTATAATTCCAAAAACCCAATTTTACAGATTTAGAGAAAAATGGTTTTGAAACTACAAAAATTACATCATGTGAATTACAAGATTTTAATAATGTGACAAATGAACCATTTCTAACTGCAGAGATATACACAGTTTTGACAGGGTTTGGAGTAACATATTGTGGGAACATTTCCAGGTAAAAGGCAAATCATGAAAAGTGGACTTGTGTGGTTTTGACATGACAGTGACAATATATAGAAGTCAATTTCTAAATATTAAAAGATACTTAATGATGTGATAAGACCTTCAAATAAAGATTTTGTGCTACTTGATTTTTTTTTTCACAAAGTAACACATTTTGATTTTATTGGAATTGCTCCATTATTACAAAAAAATATAATGCAGTCTCACAGTTTGCTTCAAAATTATTATGATAGGATATTTTTCAGTCATTGGAATACTGACAAACTAGCCTAGTATTGTACTTGTGTTATTTCAGTATTAACTATGTGTTTTTATTATTCATGTACATCATGTATGTACAATAGTCAGTGATGTAGCTCTGAAATGGTGCACTGTTTTACTTAAGTAAAATGTGTAATTATGCATAATCGCCTGTATTCTAATTTGTTATCTGTATTTTAAACACATTTATTCTTTGTCATGTAGGTGAAACAGACATTTCTTTCTGTGAATTGGATACAGACTGTGTTTTTGGCTCCATATGTATTGATGAAAGTTGTGTAGGTGAGAACAAGTTTTCTGTTCATGTATATATTTGATAAAAAAATATATAATGTCATGTATATATTTTTAAACATTATCTCGGTATTGCTGAAAATGCAGAAGTAAGTTTTCAGAAATTATATATTATTATTAATGGAAAATTTTAATTCATACTGATTTTAATCTGTTTTTACTCTCTGTTATAAAGGAGGGGTTTAATTTTGTAATTAATATTTTTCTTTCAAAACTATGCACAGCACCCTAATTATAATTATTCTCTCTAGATAAATTTGATTATACCTCAGACATCAATTTTAAAACATGTAGAAATTGTACTGACTACATTCTTTCCCAGAGGGTTGTCGTAATGACGATCACTGCTCCCCAGACATGGCCTGTATTGGTCAACACTGTGAGAACCCATGCTCACCACCTAATTCTTGTGGCATTAATGCACAATGTGGCACTGATTTTCACAGGCCAGTTTGTACCTGCAAGCCAGGATTTGTTGGAGACCCTAATGAGAAGTGCACGTTTGGTAAGAATCAAAATGTTTTTTAATGTGCATAGACAGTATTTTTAACTAGATATTGCTATACCAAAATGTTTAGTTTCTAGTAAACTATTAAAGAAATGTTTAATATGCTAAAATACTTTTTTTATGACAAACACATCGCTTTAGTTATTAAAGCCTAGAAACTTGTATCATTGAGAGTATACTGAGGAATATGAGTAGAATGGTAATAAAGTGCATTTCAAATTATTAGAAACATTTTAAAATACATCATTAGCATCTCACTGTAATACAAAACATGTATGACTGTTAATTTTCCATATTTTAGTGGACACGAATAATTGCACCACAGATACTGATTGTCCCATACAGCACATCTGTGAAGACTCGAGATGTGGAAGTAAGTATGAATTTTGTATATTTATGAACAATGGGTTTGGTAGAGATTATTATTGTATGCAAGGCTTAAATATTATTTTTATTGAATAAGTAATTTTTTTGTATGTATTGTTTGTTATTTTTATATTTTTTCTTTCAGTAGTGAGCATATAAAATTAATACTTTATAAAGTTAATATTTTTTAAAGAGAATGATGTGCAATAGAACAATTTGATAATCACATCTACAGTTTCTTGTAATAAGCATTACAAAAAGGTTCTGTTTGATTATTTTCAAGTTGGTTGCCGTAGTTATGAAAACTGTGCACTTGAAGAAGCTTGTCTCAATGGCATCTGCCAAAACCCATGTAGTGTCTTCGGTGCATGTGGACGCAATGCTATATGTCAACCTATCAACCACCGGCCAGAATGTTTTTGCCCTCCAAATTTCCATGGAAACCCAAACATTATTTGTAATGGAGGTAAAAAACTTATAATTAGACCACAGAATACGGATATTTGTTATTGTTCTTAATTTTTATTGTTGTTGTTCAATACAGGTGTACTGTCATAATCATACTTTGATTATAATATATGTAATAAAAATTCTATGCTTAGAAATAAGAAACAATATTAGGTTCAAAGTAAATTACAAAAATAATTCCTAGAACATTGTACTTTTGGGCTTGGAGTTTAATCCCATTCATCTCATATTTATAAACAAGAACTAGTTCAAGTGTACAGGAGATTCAAAGAAACAATATGAAAGGACTGCAGAAACTATGTTAATATTAGAGAAAAGAGAAATGTACAAAATAAGTAAATAAATATAAATATCATCTCACATTTAAAGGTGATATATCACTAATCAAAACATGAAACAAAAAAAGAAAGAAGTAAATTATTAAGTAATAGAAATGCAAATCCTGCCACAAACGTTACTGAATTTTATATTTTGTTTGATGTGTTCTTTATTCTTTTCTAATTGTAATTTAGTTCTTTCAGTTTTTATATGCTGTATAATATCTGTATCCCCCTTCACATATCACATAAGTAATTATTGAAAGACACGTTTGCAAATTACATGTTATGACCTCAAATTGAGAAAAATCAACTTTAAATTGTAGTTTCTGACAAGGTACCTTCCGCTCATATACATAGTTATTTTCGTTCACTGCTGCCCTCTATTTGCAAAGATATTTTTATAAGCCTTTCACTCCCACGCACCCCTCAATTGACATGGTATAACTGATTTTCACTTGCAAATTATCATTCAACAAACCATCACCAATAGTAATGCCACACACCCATATGATTCATGTGAATCCCTTTATGCTCTTCCACCTGACTATCACTTCTCGTTTGGCAGTGCTCATGTTCAGATGTTTAGTTTGTGCTCTCTTCAAGTGTTTTTTTTTCCATATAAATTTTTCTCAACAATTTTACTATTTATTATACAATAGTGATATTTGTAACTTATTCCAAAGTGGAATTATTTTATATTTCTACCCAGTTATGGAACTTAATTCTTCATTCCAAATTTGTTTCTACTTTTTATTTCTTTCTACCAACATTTTTGTGTTTGGTTATTCATTTTGAATTCTGAATTTTTTGTTACCAATTCTGAAGTTATATCTTCTGTCAGCACATTTAAATAGGCTTCAGGTGGTGACCCTCAACTGGTGAATTATCGGGTTTACATCGTCGGCAGATTGTTTGTCCAATGAGCTGACCTTCGTTGGGCCTCAACTCGAGTTTGGGGGCCCACACATTTTGAAAAATATTCCTTCAACTTTTGGAAAGATATGGCATTATATTGTCATAGTTTTAGAATATTTTTACTGTTAATATTATTATTATCTGTAGTTATTTGGGTTCAATAACATAAGTTTAGTTAGATTGGTCAATACTCATAGTCAAGTTCTGGTTTGAAATTATAGCTTAGTTGTATCCTTTGTCCTATAACGTTAGATTAGGCTTAAAATGGGTCTTTGTTATTTTAGGATTACCTTTATTCATCTTACTGGTATATTGTAAATTATATTAACTATATTGCTTTTTTTCTTCAAAACATCACAGCTCATACATATGTTATTGTCAATAATCACTTACTTAATTTTACAATATAACGTCTATTTCATTTTCGTTATTATTTAGCTTTTATACTTCTTCATAGTAACTTTGTTTGTGTGGACCCTTGGAGCCGGGGTCTCCAGATGCATGTTACCCCCTCTATTTGAATCCACCTAACAATCACTTCTCATTAGGCAATCGTCACGTTCAGACATCATACATTTTTGTACAAATTTCCACGATACTTTCTTTTTTGAAGTAGTACTTTTAAATTTCTACAGTTCTTTGTTAATTGTAGTTTATGAATCAGTTGACTTACCTTGTTTTTTCTTTGGTTTGATTTTTTTTTTCGAAATTTTTTCTTGGATTCCCAACTTATTCACAGTCAAATATGACTTCCGAGTTTCGTGTTGTGACTTCAGCTACTGTAACTACTATTTCGAGTGTCTTGACACAGGCTTCAGGTACAGAGTCCTTGACTGAGGATGTCTCGGCTTTCATTCATCAGGAGATTGAACTTAACATGGGTTGTCCCTCTTCTCCAGTCCTTGCCCAGGCACTTTCAGTGCTTGTAGAGCCCTGTCAGGTTCTACCCATACATGGATGTATGGGTAGAATTCTTTACAGTAGGTGTCTGTGACTTTTCAGTGATAAATTTCAACAATAAACAAACAGCATACTGTCCACTTGTTTTAAAATAATATATTAAGACAAGTCAAACATATATATAAATGTTCATTACACAGTTAATTACCACAGTTGCATCCAGATCTTTAAATAATCGTCTCTTTTTGTCAAAGTTCACACAGGTTGGTTCAGTTACTTTATAACACAATTGACAAGACGAGTTATTCTCCACTGCTCTTTTGTTACAATACTGTCAGTGATCATTTCACTTATATTACACTGTTGGTTACCACAGTTGTATTTAGAGCTATAAATAATTGTCTCTTTTCATTAAAGGTCCACACAGATTTCTTCAGTTACTTTAGAATACAATTGACAAGACAAATTATTATTCTCTACTCTGTTGTTACAATACAATGTGTAATAATTTCACTTTAAAAAAATGCCAATATATGCTCTTTACAGCTAAACCTACAAACACACTGTCTAGATCTATCTGACTATCTCCCTCACTAATTTTGTCTTGTTTTCACTTAACTTAAACTACATTTTGGATGTGTATTTATAAATAGCCCAACTGAGGCATAGAACTTACCAGATACTACGAGATATTATGATATAACAATACTCGATCAAAACAATGAGAAAAACTTAGAAGGTTCAAGTAACATAACATAATAATACAAGTGCCAAATCACAACACTGGAAATACACAATATATAATTCATACACAGTTATGTGAACAAACCTGGGATAAACTATTCCTTCCAAACATAACTAAATTTAACACTTGCACTATACTTAAATTAAAACAGTCATTTATATCTAACAAACCTATTCATGACAACATGGATTTTGACAGCCTATTTCCTCCAACCTCTGCCATGCAAGCCTGTACCCCTTCTGAGGAATCAGTCAGACCTCCCTCAGCCTTTTAGGGTTTAATTTCTTAGGTATGTACCTTTTTTCTGTATCCCCAGTTTCATGCCCTACCCTTTTCCTGCTTCTCACCACCACATAATCCAAGTATGTTGTTTTTCCTCCTCCTCCAGGTATCTGGTCCATGCTGATCTTTTCCTGTTTCAATTGACAGCAGGTTTCAGATGATTATGACTTATTTTCTTCTCTTCCTCACCTATGGGTGTCATTGGTCTGAGGTCCTTATTATCGATGTTTCACCTACTCTGATTTTCATTCCACATATGCTATTTTTTATCCAGATCAATCATTCCTGCCTAAACCTTTAGCAGTTAGTGAGGGGAGTTCTTCATTTCTACTGATTACCCTTCTCTCCATTTCCTACCTCTATTCCCAGGAAGGATTTGGATTGACTTCTATATCCTGTTTGTGCTCTTCATTGTTACATTACCCACATGGCTTCCTTCTGGGTGGAGGGTTGTCACATGATAATTTACATGTGAAGACACAGTGAACCATGTTGATCTTGGTGCAGGTGGGAGTTTCAAGGCTAGTGGCATGCAAAAAAAATTTTTCATATAGAGGACAGCACTAATAAAAAAACTATTTTGTGAAAAGAGGTAAGTATCTATCAGAAACATATTATCAGTGTAGGAAAATAATAACTTATGTAAAACCTATCAGAAATATATTATCAGTGTAGGAAAATAATAACTTATGTAAAATCTTAAGTGTAGCTAGAATATTCATGGTATTTAAATCCTGATTTTTATCTTGGTATTTGGAATTTGAACATTTTGTCCCTTCTTAGGATATGTAGATTGTAATCAAGACCAAGACTGTGAACTGGGCAAAATCTGTGACAACAAGCAATGTATAAGTAAGTGAGAAAATCTTTAAAGTTATTTTTATATAATAAAAAATTATAGCACCTGCAAAATACATTTGATGTATATATATATATATATATATATCTTTATTGAGAGAACAAACA